TGTGTGTGTGTGTGTGTGTGTGTGTGTGTGTGTGTGTGTGTGGGTGGGTGGGTGGGTGTGGGTGTGTGTGTGGGTGTGGGTGTGGGTGTGTGGGTGTGTGTGTTGTCATATTCGCTAGACAGTGTACACTGAAAAAAAGCAAGACTGTGCCAGACTGTTTTGTCGGACTTTCACCGACTCATCAGGAGGTTGAACCTGGACAGACAGTCGCCCAGGATGCATTTGACTGATGGATAAGGACTCATCACATCGGCCAGACTTAGCGATACCCCTGAGAGAGAAAAGTGGTGGACTTAACTCACATCAACCTTGCAATCCTAGCAGAGTGCCGGTCCAAACCCCTGACAAGAACGGCAGTAAGCCTGAGAAACTAATCTGACGCAGTCATAAAACCCAGTCTACACACCCACTCAGTGTGTGTGTGTGTGTGTGTGTGTGTGTGTGTGTGTGTGTGTGTGTGTGTGTGTGCGGGGGGCCGGACTCACTCAACTACTCGACATTATACCTGTATCTCGACTATCGTTGGACCAGGTGCATTCAGAGAATTTCAGACTGAGCGAAAGTCAGACCATGACGTTTTGCAGATAGAATGTTGCTGTTGTACTGTGTTACGGTTGACTAGCCGTGTATGAATTTCTGCCTACACTTGAACCTGGAAAGAACTGTTTAGGTTCATCTCGCCGACCTATCCTGTTGGATGCGGTCACTATTCACACCTCCTGTGGCTTCTCCCTTCTACCCTTCTTTTCCAAGCTGTACCCTCCTTTGCTGCCCTTCAGAACCAGGAGCACTACCCCCCCCGCCCCCCCTTGCGCAGGGCAGTTCGGGCCATGCCAATCTTCTCTGTATCGTTCCAATTTTGGAGCACTACTTTGTCATCCAGATCAGAAGATTTCTTCTCTTCCACCAAAAAAAAACTTGAACCCACTGCTCAGCACCTCTTCCTCCTCATCACAGTCACATACCTGAATGTTGATAGTCCTCAACTTCTCAAGGTTAGCCAGGAGTTAGACTTGAGCATAGAGGCGTCACAGGCGGGACTCGCATAGATGCTATCGAAAGGCGTCACAGGAGGAACGGCATAGATGCTATGCAGCTCATACCGTTCCTCAGGTTGGCTTGAGCATAGATG